CAAAAAGGTTGTTGGACGGGTAGATTGCCAAGTGGCAACCGTGCTTGATACTGGTCAACCATTATTCTTATTACTAGAGGTCATGAATATTTATTAGTGGGCGGCCCCTTACGCTGCCTATGTTCTTTCTTTAAATTTGAATCCACACGTTCTTTCCTACACCTGTGCACCTTCCTCACAGGTAAAGTGAGCAATTTGATCACCTAATTGCATACGCCCAGTGCGAGTCAGGTTGCCCCAATTAGATTGCCCAATTAGTCTATCATATTAATGACCAAAATGCTTGCTTGGGTCCTTTTGATAAAAGAAAAATCTACGAACTATCCCTGTGTGCTTCCTTCAAGGAAGGAAATGGCAAATTACCTCGCCCTCCTGGCACCCGGGGCTAGGTGAGCCTTTTGCTTTTCTCTTAGGGCTGCCCGCTCATGGCTAGCTAACTGCCTACCACAATACTAAAAGTGGTAAAAACTAGATCTTCTAAAGGAAATTTTATATGTGATCCATATGTTGGTCATTGTTATATGTGATCCATATGTTAGTCTAATTGTTATCTCTGGATGTCATATCTGGATGCTGTAGTCTGCCATATATTCTGTTTTTATTTTTGGTGCCAACAGACACCGAATTAACCCTTTTTTGTTTGTTTGGTCATCCCTAAGGTGAAGAACATTTAACTTTCATTTTCTGCTGTTAAGTCAAGTATTTAAGCGTTTTACACTATTTGACAAGGTTTCTTCAAAATCAAAGTCTAAATGATTTTATCTTAAAATAAGTTTTGGATGTTTACAGAGGGCTCCTGAAATATCCAAAAGATAGATGTTAGAACCAGTCAGACTTATTTTAAAATGTTAAATGATAGGGGAAACATTGTCAAATTGAGAGATTAAAATTTTCTTTACATCATGTTTAAATTATGTGTATGAACATGTTATATGTCTATATGTTTATGTGTGTATTTATACATTTATTGTATACCAAAATGAATTGGAATTTCCATAAATTTATAATGTGATATTTATCAGTCATGTTGTAGGTTATTGTGTTTAATTGGTCTATGTCACAGATACAGCCACATTTCTTTTTCAGTAACTAGGATTGGTTCAAGTCTTATTGCCCATGGATATTTAATTTGTTGAATGCCTTTCTAAAGCTTTTGCACATGGCTATAATCCTAATGTGTTATGTCTTTATGGAAATTCACAAAACAGATGGAAAGAGGATGTATTCTTATAAGTTCAGGTTTCTGATAATTGAATCATTTAACTGGGTAAACATTTCCATTGTCTATGGAGAAACTAGTCAGTTTTCTGATCTGCTAAACCAACCATTAAGCAGAACCAAAATTACCAAAAACAAGGAAATGGTTGATAGAATTACATGCTAAGTAGCCAATATCAAAATTGTTAAGATATGCCGTACTTCCTGGCCTGTCAAAGATCAAAAGTAAATTGTTGGGACCAGCAATTGGTGTAGTGGCTATATTGCTGGACTCCCATATAGTTGACCGCAGTTCAAGTCCTGGACCTGGTGGTTTAAACTCATGCTGGGCACATGTGCGTGTGTGCCCAAGATCCCCAGAGGAGTATGGAGGAGAAGGGATTGCGGTGTGGCCAAACCCTCTGGTGTGTGTGGAGGGGGTGATTTCTCATTTTCTGACTCTCTGTCTCTCTCTGTCTTTCTGGTGAGTGCATGTTCCCTACAGGAAAAACCTCTCAAACAAACAAACCAAAAAGTAAATTGTTAAGATCTGTAATTTAAATTAATTCCATAAAACTGATCTAAGTCAAATTACCTGTGATAATCAATTTAATAAGCAATGCTATACATCTAAATTAAAGAGGTGAAATTAATATAAGATATAAATCCAATGTTAAGCATGGACTCATGGACAGTATATGGACAACCACCTAGTTCTCCTTATAGTTCATTATTTAAAAACCTCTACACTCCATGACTCACAAAACAGAGAAAATTATCCAGATTTTTAAAAAATGATCATTTATGTGGTACTGTAGTGTAATAACTGCTCTAAAATTGCTAAAATATCTTATAGCCAATGTTTAGTTTGACATCTTGATATTGAAAAGACAGTAAAAACTGCAGGTACATTCCTACTATCTGATATGCCACTTAAATATTATAAAGGAATTTCACTCATTGTCATTTTCATTACATATTTTTCATTGTGTAGGGGCTTTTCCATAAAGAAAAGTAATGCTGTAAAAGTAGTCAAAGGGTTATTAGAAAATGTGTTTCTCTCATGAGACATTTCTGGACAAATCTGAGGTAACTAAACTCTGCCAGACTCTATGCTAAAGTATATTTTCATCAGATAAAGAATGCTGTTTATGGGAACCAGCAGTTAGCGTAATGGCTATGTCGCTGGACTCCCACGTAGTCGACCGCGGTTTGTGTCCCGGACCCGGTGGCTTAAAACTCACGCTGGGCACGTGTGCGCCCAAGATCCCAAGAGGAGAATGGAGTAGAAGGGATTGCGGCGTGACCATCCCCTCTGGGGGGTGATTTCTCGCTTTCTGTCTCTATGTCTCTCTCTGTCTGTCTGGCGAGCGCACATGCCCTATAGCAAAAACCTCTCAAAAAAAAAAAAAAAAAAAGAATGCTGTTTGTGTTTCACTGACTGAAGACAATCAAACCTTTCCTGGTCCAGAGTATGGGTCTTTTTGGAAATGATAGCAGAAAAAGACTGCCTGTGAGCCCTATTGGAAGACATTGTACCAAATTCTTCTCACTATTCATACTGCAGTAGAGCTTTAAGAACTTGAACTCTGGGTTTACAACTCAAAAGAGCTATTTTAGATTTTTTTTTTTTAACTGTGCACCTGTTGGGGACTTTAAGATAAAATTGACCAAGAAAATTTCTTCTTCAAAACAGACATCTTGGACATGGACAATTATGCCCCAGTAACACACGTCAAGATTTCTCTGCCATCATGAAAACTTCATGTTGTTTGTTTCTTTCTTTTTCTTTCTTCCTTCCTTCCTCTTTCTTTCTTTCTTTCTTTCTCTCTCTCTCTCTCTCTCTCTCTCTCTCTCTCTCTCTCTCTCTCTCTCTCTCTCTCTCTCTCTCTCTCTCTCTCTCTCTCTCTCTTTCTTTCTTTCTTTCTTTTCTTTCTTTCTTTCTCTTTCTTCTTCTGCCTCTGCTTCTTCTGCTTCTTCCTCCTCCTTCTTCCTCCTCCTCCTTCTTCTTCCATCTTCTTCTTCCTTCTTCTTTCTGCCCTCTTCTTCTTTTTTCCTTCTTATTTCTTCTCTCCTTTTTTCTTTCTTTCTTTCTTTCTTTCTTTCTTTCTTTCTTTCTTTCTTTCTTTTTCCTTCCTTCCTTCCTTCCTTTCTTTCTTTCTTTCTTTCTTTCTTTCTTTCTTTCTTTCTTTCTTTCTTTCTTTCTCTCTCTCTTTCTTTGTTTTTCCTTTCTTTCTTTCTTCTTCTTCTCCTCCTTCTTCTTCATCTCAATTCTTGACATCTTAATTCTTTCTTCTTCCCTGCAGGAAATCCATGGAACCATAATCAGAGGTTAACTTTAATTTGAATTTATGTCCTAATATAAAGCCAGACCAGTTAAGTTTATATACTACTGCAAACAAGATTCCAGTAAGGTTCCTGGAGATTTACTTTTGGCAGTAATGGGATGCTGATTGTATTTGAAGCTTATTCATAAACTGGGGAAATATTTCAATTTATAGCCAATAAGACCTCCTGGAGTTTCAGGAGGGTAAAAGACACCCCACAAAAGGTGAATGATTAACATACAAGTTCAACAAGTTTTGGATAAGCTGAAACACTTAATGAAATATCATCTAGCTTTAGATATCCTTTTTGTTTAAGTTAGGGGCTTGTTTTGTTTAATAGTAAACAAAACTGAACATTGTACCTAACTATTTCCTGACTTTAATACCACAAAATATTTAATTAAAGAAGTGGCTGGGAACCAGCAGTTAGCGTAATGGCTGTATCACTGGACTCCCACGTAGTCGACCACGGTTCGCATCCCAGACCCGGTGGCTTAAAACTCACGCTGGGCGCGTGTGTGTGCATGCCCAAGATCCCAAGAGGAGAATGGAGGAGAAGGGATTGCGGTGTGACCATCCCTCCTGGGGGGTGATTTCTCACTTTCTGTCTCTCTGTCTCTCTCTGTCTGGTGAGCGCAAATGCCCTATAGCGAAAACCTCTCCAAAATAAATAAAAATAAAAAGAAGTGGCTGATACTGCTGTTTCCTTAGACTCAGTCACCAGATATACTAGGGAAGTCTCTCAAGAGTGAGGAACAGTTGATGTGTTTACAGGTGGAATTAATAGTCAGTTTACAGGCATCCTAAATGGCAGATGGCAGGGTTATGTTTTTCAAGGCTTTTTTAATCTTTATATTTCTCCCAGTAGGTCTCTAGGTTGTTATGACTTGTTATTACTAAACTAACAACAAAGATATTTTTTTTGGAGAGGTTTTTTGCTATAGGGTGTGTGCGCTTGCCAGAAAGAGAAATAGAAAGCGAGAAATCATCCCCAAGGATGGATGGCCATGCCACAATCCGTTCTCCTCCATTCTCCTCTTGGGATCTTGGGCAATGCACGCACACATGCCCAGCATGAGTTTAAGCCACTGGGTCTGGGACTCAAACCTCAGTCGGCTACATGGAGTTCAGTGACATAACCATTATGCTAACTGCTGGTCCTGATAATGCTTTTTTAATCAGGCTATTTTACAAAGAACTCTGGTCCTCAATTATCATCACACTCCAGACAACTAGGCTCAAATACTGTTGAATCGATTATATGGCCTGAACCCTAACCTGTTTTAAATTCATCTCAGCTTGTTTCATAAGAACTTTTGTTAAGAGGTTCACTTTAGTCATCACATTAATCCTCCTAGTCTGTGTCCTTTCAAGTCTTAACTTCTTCGCACATAGCCACCTGTCGACTGTTAAATGCTTTTGTTTCAGGCAGATCCATAAAAGCTCAAATAAAGACTGTTTGACCTGCATGACATCATGTTCAACTTGTGTGATGTTGCAACCTGTGGATTCCATGCTAGAGACCAGAGAACACTTCTGCTCTCTATGCTGAGAGCAAGGTAACGTCATTTATATTGGTGACAGAGAGTGGTGCAAATGCCCTAAGTTTTGGTCAATCTCCCAAGTATTTGAGAGGATGACCAAAAGGGTCAAATTGTTAAACTATTTTTGCCTAAAAGAGTCACTGTACTTCCACACTTTGATTTCTATGGATAAGCTAAAATCATACATGTTAGGCAGTTTTTCTGAGTTGGTTGCTAGGTTGCCTCCAATCACAGCAGCTAGGCTTCAGTCAGTCACAGGAATCCCACCTTTTAAAACATATTAATGCAGAAAAACTTCATAATGTAACAAATGATTTATCTACCTCACTCCCTCAATTATGTTTTTGTATAACACTTTCCTGTTCTGCTGACATAAATGCCAAGTTGACCACAAGGTTGGCTAGAATCATCTGGAAGTCCAGGGACAACTTCCTAATTTGAATCATGTTAAGATTTGCTCTGTTAAACTACATTAAATTAGAGTTGGTTAAACACCATGTCAACTGGTGGCACCTCCTGGTGGTATTTTCAATAGCTACTAACCTTGCCAGGTTCAATATGAAAGTTGTAAATTGGAATGGAAATTTAAAGCAAGTTCTTGTTGATGCACAGCACAAATTAATAGTTATATCTGGGGATAGTTGTTTTTTCCATGTTCACTTGTCTCTGATGCAGCTTATGAAATAATTGCTGTGTTAATTGAATACCACTCTGTAATTACAAACAAAATAAAGTTGCAGCTGTTTTGTTGCCATTCTGAATGCATATAAATAAATATAAATTTTAATTAAAAAATATACAAAGACACCCACAAAGAATAAAAGCAAGTGAAGTTCTGTACTTAGTATCTATAGAATCCTTATCCTCCTGGTTCCCAGCCTGTTGAATATAGAGCTTGGTGGAGACCATCTTGCCTCCTTGTTCTCTGGGAGCTGGTCATTGATTTGTCTCCCACATGAGGTGTCAGTACATAGTTAGCAGGCCCAAGCTGGGGACTATTTGGCTGATTGTTTTTTAAAGAGGTTTTTTGCTACAGGGTGCGTGCACTCGCCAGACAGAGAGAGACAGAGAGAAAACACCCCCCAGGAGGCATGGCCACTCCGCAATCCCTTCTCCTCCATTCTCGTCTCGGGATCTTGGGCACGCACGCACACACACCTGGCATGAGTTTTAAGCAACTGGGTCCGGGACGCGAACCGTTGTCGACTATGTGGGAGTCCAGTGACATAGCCATTACTCTAACTGCTGGTCCCAAAAAGAGAACTGTTTAAATTTGATACTTTTAAATACTTTTTGTTACTTACTCTGGTAATGGAGATTTTCTATAAATATATGATGAATAGTTTTGATGCTATATTCAGTATACACTTAAATATCTGTTGCTTATTCTGTTAGGCTTTAATAGAATGGAATGTTTACAGGCCCTTAAAATACTTTTTGAAAACCTTTTAAAGATACTTACCAAAGTTTTTCCAAGAGGATTTTATACTCAATTTAAATGTAAGGCTTATCAGACTGAAATAGTACAAGTATTAAAGCAATCATATGTTAGAGACTATTTTGTAACGTAGTGAATGGTACTTTTATAAAAAAAGTGATTGCCGGGACCAGCAGTTAGGATAATGACTATGTCACTGGACTCCCATGTAGTCGAGCCCCGGACCCGGTGGCTTAAACTCATGCTGGGTGCGTGTGCGTGTGCGCACAAGATCCTGAGAGGAGAATGGTGGAGAAGGGATTGCAGCGTGGCCATCGCCCCTGAGGGGAGATTTCTCCCTTTCTATCTCTCTGTCTCTGTATCTTTCTGGGAACGCATGTGCCCTTTAGCAAAAACCTCTCAAAAAAAAAAAAAAAAAAGAAAGAAAGAAAGAAAGAAAAAGTGATCACCGATATGTTTTTATAACTAATCTTTGTAAATCCCAATGTCTGTTGTCTCCATGATGTGATTACCATAATCCAATCACCACTTACTAGACTTCAACCTGGAAAACCATGACAAAATTAAATTTTCACTTAATCCCTTTCAATAACAGACAATACAATCAGGTTCAAACACATTAATTTCCAGGGGACATTTTCAAGCCATAGAAGGTATTAGTCATTAAACAGAAAATGAAGCTATGAGAGAATAATCATGATTTTAGTGTTTTCATTGATAGTGTTAAGAAAATTCATTTGTATTTTGAGGCATGATTAGTCTTTATAGGAGGTGAAAAAATCCAATAAAAATCAACAAAATATTGTATTGGAAAAATAATTGATGTATTAAGCAGGGTAAATTACTTGATCATGATGAATTGTTTCATCACCTACAAGTTCAGATTTTTCATACCATAACCCCACAGGCTTGGAAAGATACAGTAGGTTTAGTAACACTGCTAGTATTTCCCTTTGTGTTTATGTTTAAATGGTTAGGAATCCTCAGGTACAGAGTGAGGTAGGATGCCTCCTCCTATTTACCCACATAATGATTGGGTTATCTACTCTCCTCCTTTATAACTGAGCAGTGAGAGGCAGAAGTCACTGTTTTTTCCAGCAAGCCACAGGCTGTGTGCATCTCAGGAGGTCATCTCCAAGACCAGCTTTTTGACTATGGGGGAACCTGCATCAGCTTCTGTCCTAAAGAAGCCTTTTCTGGTGAGTACAAAATTCACATGGACACCAAGGGAATTTACTTGTATGTTTTATTTGGCAAACAACTCTTTTATTTTTAAATTATTTTCTTTACTTATGATAGAGTATGTGCATGCTCTTGTGGGATTAAGAGTGAGAATGAGAGATGAGCACCGTCCAGTGTCTGTTCAGATCCCTGTCTTCTTATTTTCCTGACCCTTGGATTTGGGGCACTTGTATGCTTACCTAGTGAGTGTCAGGCTGATTGGGCCAGGTATTTTAATTCCAGCCACCATGTAAGAAGCAGCTGTGCCAATGGGCTGGACCAACAAACAGTTTTTTTTTAGAGATTTTTGCTATAGGGCACGTGCGCTCGCCAGACAGACAGAGAGAGAGACAGAGAGATAGAAAGCGAGAAATCACCCCCAGGGGGGATGGCCATGCCACAATCCCTTCCCCTCCATTCTCCTCTTGGGATCTTGGGCACGCACGCATGCACATGCGCCCAGCGTGAGTTTAAGCCACCGGGTCCGGGATTTGAACCACGGTCAAATACATGGGAGTCCAATGACATAGCCATTACACTAACTGCTGGTCCCATCAAACAGTAGTTCTTAAAAGAACAAGATGATATTGTTTAGAATGTTATTTTGTCTGTATTAGTATTTGTCAGATTATATTCAGAATATTTTAGTTCTGTGTTTATGAAGCTTTCTTGGCTTTAAAATCAGCACCTCTGGATAGGAAAGTAGTGTTAAGCCTGCACAGTCCCCACTTGGAAAATTTCTTGCCCAGAATGTGGTCATTTTTGTTTTAAATTCAGTTCTCCGTGCAGAGGTCATGTGTCAATTTAGTGCTTTCCTAACCTCACTGTTAATTTCTTTCCGTTTCTTTCGTTCTCTTTCCCCTTCCTTTCTCCTTCCCTGTCTATCTTATCATTTATCATAGCTCATAATTGCATCTGAATGTGTATTAGAAAGCTATTATTCTGTTTATTAACTCTTTCCTCTCATCAAGATTTAAACATAAAAGAGCAGTTACTGGTATAAGTTTATTTGTGAATCATAGACTTTAGTACACATTTTGGCACATAACATTTGCCCTATATATGGGCAACCAAATAATTTTCCTTTCAAACTGTAACATATGGGGTAGTTAAATGTGTATTATTAATAATGATGCTGGGGGAACGAGTAGATGGCATAACAATTACATTGCTGGATTCACATGTAGTGGTTCGAGTACCAGATATGGTGCTAAAACTCATGCCAGACATGTAAACTCATGTGCCCAAAATCCCTAGAGGAGCAAGGAGGAGAAGGATTGCATCATGGCCACTCCCCCTTGGGGGTGGTTTATCACTTTTTGTCTCTCTCTGTCTCTGGCTAACTCATGTGTCCTATAGCAAAAATTTCTCAGAAAATCAAATACTGAGTTGGGGGTCAGTAGGTGATGTTTTATTTAAGGCACTAGACTCCTATATTGATGACCATGGTTTGTTTCCTGGATTGGTGGTTTGCTTTCTCTCTAGGTCTCTGTGTGTAGTTCTCTCTATTTTTCTCTGCTGAATGCATGTGTCCTATAGTGAATTTAAATAATAATAGAAATAAATAAAATAAAATACAACCTTTTAAAAAATGATGCTAAGACAAAAGAAACATAATAAGAGATATGTTTTCCATTTCTTAAATATCTGCTGAGGATAAAAAGTAAAGTTTTAAAATGAAAAGTACACTGATTATGTTTGCATATTAAATAGCTTACTGTTCCTAGCCTTAACTGAATTATGAAAGGAAAGATTTAAAATATCAGGCAATATTTAGTTCATAATTTATTGCTGCATACCACTTAAAGAATTGTATCATAAATTAAATAGATTCAGCTCATAATTATAGTTTCATAAGTTTACTTAAAACATTGAAACAATTAAAACTATACGTTAGAGTAATTCATGATACTTGTATAAGTGAGCTCTGAGAAAAATCAATTCTGAACACAGCTGTGTAGAACATTTTAAGCACACATGATTGTTCTTTTTCTAAATATTGAGTGACAAAACAATATGAGAGAAAGAGATAACACAGCTACGTAAATAAGCATTTTTTTTTACAAGGTATTCTACTTTTGATTGCTGGATCAGGAAGGAGTACTGTATGGAATTTATTTATTTATATTAGCCAGAGGGCACATGTGCTCAGCAGAGAGGGATATGGAGAAAGCACCACCCAATGGGCAATGGTCATAGTATAGTCACTTCTTTATTTTTCTATCCTGTCAGGATTTTGCATATATACACACATCCAGTTTATTTTTCAAGCCACCAGGTAAGAATCAAAACTGCACAGTTGACCATGTGGGTATGAGTGCTCTTAAGCGGCAGGGCATGGGGCCAGCACAAATGGAAGTATTTTGTATATCACCTAAAGGGTAACCAGGAATCACTTGAAGTTAACAATCTATTTCCTTGAGAAATGATTATTTATAATGAAGTCTTTGTGTATATAATCTATGTGAAGGAAAAGTAGGTGTTTCTGAGGTTTTCATTTATGACCTATAGAATGTTATGTGAGCAGGATCTTGGTATGTGGGTATTTAGGGATTGAGTTGTACCTGATTTCTTTGGAGATCTGGGAGCAAAAAGTTAGAAACTAGAATGTGATTTGTGTGGCCTGTAACACAATGAGAAGGACAGGGAAACTGAGGCCTGTAATCCCTCTGTCACAATGATGGTAGGTTAGGGGTGCAGCACGTCTTATTTCAGAGTGACAGGGATGGGAGGACAGTAACATCCTCAGAAGAGCATGAAAATGATCTGAACCCAGTTCCAGGTGCTAATCTTGAATTTACCATCCACTCACATCAACCAGATGAGGTTATAGGATCTAGATGCCAAGTGTGAAGCTTGAAACATATCAGCAGCAACATGGAAACTTGGCAAAATAAATTCTTGGGCACCACCCGAGACTTTCTCGAGTTTAGAAATCTATATTATAAAAAAAGTCCAGATGTTTGTGATTCACAGTACAATTTGAGACATTTGTTAAAGGGTAGAGGCTGGTTGGGAAATTTCCTTGAGCCAAGGTAAACTTCCATATCTGATAGTATCTACTCATTATTTTTCAAATCTCTCTCAATCTTTCCTTTCATAGGGGAAACTCAAGAGAAATATGATGCCCCAGGCTTTACAAGGGAAAAGGAATCAAGTCCATATAATGAAGGCCAAGAGACGACAAAGATTAAATTCTGCACTTCCAGTTAGGCTGACCAGCTGCATCTTCCCAAGGCCAGTGACTAGAATAACTTCCCATCTTGGCAATGAGGTTAGACACCGTCGAGGGGAGGAGAACCTGGAGAAGCCCCAGCAACTCTGTGCGTACAGGAGACTATGGAGTTCTGAAGCCTGCAGCAGTGAAAATGAATTTTTAATTTTGTTGCATTTCATAAATGACATCAAAATAATTACACCAGGTGAGTCTCTGGGCCATGCTAGTGCTGGGGGTCTGTACACTTACCCAAAGTTTGGCCCTGGTCAGCCTTTGGATTGTGCAGAGATGACTCCAGAAAGGACTCTTTATTTCTCACCATCTCTCTTTCCCAAAGAAGTAACATCTACAGATATCCGGAGACAGACACGGAAAGTAAAGAAAGCCAGGAAGAAACTGGAAGAGGCCCTGAAGGTAGACAGACTCATCAGGGACGCAGAGAGAGCAGGAAGCCCAAAGTAAAAGCCTGAAAATAGATGAAAAATAGAAGGTAGTGATGAAGAAAAGTGGTGTGACCCTTGTGAAGTGATTCACCAGGAACAAATTTCCCTTTGTCTTTAATGTTAATCGTCATTTAATTGTAATGCTCCATTAAGCCCAAACCAATCTCTATTAAACACATTCAAAAGACCAAAAGTGTGAAGAGTATTTGGATTTTGGGAACCAGCAGTTAGCGTAATGGCCATGTCGCTGAACTCCCATGTAGTCAACCACGGTTCACAACGTGGACCCGGTGGCTTAAAACTCACACCAGGTGCGTGTGTGTGCGTGCCCAAGATCCCAAGAGGAGAATGGAGGAGAAGGGATTGTGGCGTGACCATCCCTCCTGGGGGGTGATTTCTCGCTTTCTGTCTCTCTGTCTGTCTGGCGAGCACATGTGCCTTATAGCAAAAACCTCTCTCTCAAAAAAAAAAGAGTATTTGGATTTTGTTGAGAAATTGGATTTTATCTTTGCCTGTCATTGTGCATCTCCATGTTTATCATATTTTTAAATTATTTTTATTTAAAATTTTTTTCATTTCATTTTCTTCCATACATTCAATCACATTATTATTTGTCTTACAAAATGGATATTTCAACAGGTGAACATTTATTTCTCCCTAGTACTGTTGATAAAATTACAAATATTTTCAGATAATACCACACCTCTTTATACCATTAATGCTTTGCCTCTCTGTCCCTCCCTTAAATGTCCTTCCTCAGACTCTCCTCTTTCACACACACTATATCTGGTATTTACATCTATATACTGTGTTTCTATATCCTTTAGTCAATTAATTTCAGTCATAGAGTGCAGACACTCAGTATATATTGAGTGGGGACATACAATGTCTCTCCTTCATAGCCTGGCTTGCTTTATTCAGCAGTAAATCTATATTCATCCACTTTCTGTCAAAAGCCAGGGTTTTGTTATTTTTTTTATGGCTCAATATTACTCCACAGAGTATATGTGCCACACTTTTTCAATCCATTCATCTATTCATGGGCATTTGGGTTGGTTCTTTGTCTTAGCAATTGTGAATAGTGCCAGAATAAACATCAATGTGCAACCACTTTTCCAATTATGAACTCTTCTGTCCTTTGGGTAGATACCAAGGACTGGGATTGATGGATCATATGGTAGTTCTATTTTTAGATTTTTGAGAAAACTCCAAATTTTTCTCCACAGTGGCTGGACCAATTTACATTCCTACCAGCAGTGTAAGAGATTTCCTCTTTCACCACAACTCTGCCAGCACATTTTTTTTTCCTTAGTCATTCTGACTGAGGTTAGGTGGTATCTCATTGCTGTTTTGATCTGCATTTCCCTTGCAATGGGGAGTGCTGAGTATGTTTTCATATGCCTTTTAGCTATTCCTATGCCATTCTTAGCGAGTGGTTTTATCAATTCGTTATCCTATCTTTTAATAGGATTGATCATTTTTTTTTGAGCAGCTTGTGTATTCTGCTTATCAGCCCCTTATCTGATACATAGTTTACAAAAATATTTTCCCATTTGGAGGACTGCCAAGTCACACTAATTACTGTGTCTTTTGCCATGCAGAAACTTCTTAGTCTGATGTTTTGGGGATTATTGACTGTACTTTCAGGGTCGTATTTAAGAAGTCTTTGCTTACGCCCAATGTCTCCCAGAGTCTCCTTAGTATTTTCCAGGAGCAATCTAACAGTTTGAGGTCTTAGATTTAGATCTTTGATCCACCTTGAGTTGATTTTTGTCAAAGGTGTGAGGTAGGGGTTCAGATTAATCTTTCTGTAGGTGGAAATCCAGTTTTTCCAGCACCATTTGCTGATGAAGTTTTCCTTTTTTCACTGAATTGACTAGTACCCCTTGTCAAAATCAGTTGACTGTATGTTTGCGGATTTATCTGGGGACTCTATTCTGTTCCATTGTACCACCTGTCTCCGTGCCAGTACCATTTTGAATACCACAGCATTGTAGTACATTTTTGGGCCAGGGAGTGAGATGCCACCCATTCCACCCTTCTTTTACAGGATTGTTTTGGCAATATGGGGTCTTTTGTGATTCCAGACAAATTGTATTCTTGTCTTTTCTAGATCTGTGAAGAATGTGTCTTGGCTCTTTTATTGGCATTGCATTAAATACATAGATTAATTTGGGTAAAATTGCCATTTCGATTATATTAATTCTTCCAATCCAGCAACATGGGATGTCCTTCCACTTTTTTGTGTCATTTTCAAGTTCTTTTTTTTAGCTTCTCATAGTCTCCCTTGTAGAGATCTTTAATGTCTTTGGTTAGATTTATTCCCTAGTATCATATACTTTTTGTGGCTATGGTAAATGGAATTACTTTTTTCAGTTTTATCTCAGTCTGCCTGTTCTTCATATATAGAAATGCTATAGATTTCTGGATGTGAACTTTGTATCCTGCAGCTTTACTGTGTTCATGTATTACTTCCAGGAGTTTCCTCATGGATACCATTGGACCTTGTATGTATACAATCATGTCATCTGCAAACAGAGTTTCACCTCTTCTCTTTCTATTTGAATGCCTTTTATTTTATTCTCTTTTCTTATTGCATTGGTGTGGACTTCCAGTATTATATTGAAAAGGAGTGGAGAAAGTGGGCAACCTTATCTTTTACCCATTTTTAGTGGGAAAGCTTTCAGCTTTTCTCCACTCAGGATGATGTTTCCTGTGAGGTTTTCATAGATAGGTTTTAAGCTGAAAGTCTTGATCATGAAGGGATGTTGTCAAATGCTTTTTCTGTGTCAATTGATATGATCATATGATTTTTCTCTATCTGTTAATATGATTTATTACATTTATGGTTTTGAGTATGTTGAACCAACCTTGCATCCCTGGAATGAAGCCTATCTGATCATGATTTATAATCTTTTTTATAAGTGGTTGGATACGATTTGCTAATATATTGTTCAGAATCTTTGCGTCTATATTCATCAGAGATATTGGTCTACAGTTTTCCTTCCTCAACCTGTCCTTATCTGTTTTAAGGATAAGGGTGATGGGGGCTTCATAGAATGAATTAGGGAGAGATTCACCCTTTCGGATCTTTGCAAAAAACATGAACAATATGGAGTTAACTCTTCTTTGAAAGTTTTGTAGAATTCAGAGGTGAAGCCATCAGACCAGGGCTTTTCTTTGTTTGGAGGTTATTTATTACTGATTCAATCTCCTGGATTGTTATGGGCCTATTCAGACTTTCTACATCTTCCTGGCTCAATCTTGGTAGATTATATATATACAGGTATTTGTCTACCTCATCCAGATTTTCTTGTTTCTTGGCATATAGTTTTTCATAGTATCTTCTAATGATGTTTTGTACTTCTACTATGTCTGCTGTTACATTGCCTGCTTTATTGCTGATTCGATTTATATGGTTTCTTTCTCTCTACTTCTTAATAAGTCTCACTAGAGGTATACCAGATTTTATTTATATTTATTTTCTGTATAGTGCATTCATTTTCTATTTCATTTATTTGTGCTCATATTTTTATTATTTTCTTTCTCCAGGAGTTTTTTGGATTTTTTTTTTTTTTTTTTTTTTTGCTTTTGCTTTTCACATTCTCTGGGGCACGGTGTTTGGTGATCCATTTGCCTTCTTTCCATCTTGTTATGTGCACTAATTGCTATGAATTTCCCTCTTATGACTGCTTTAGCAATGTCCCCCAAATTATGGAAACTTGTGTCCTCATTGTCAATGGCTTCCATCAATCTTTTGATCTCAGTCTTTATTTCTTGAGTAGTTGTAGAGTCATTCAGGATTAGGTTATTTAGTTTCTATGTATTTGTGTATTTTTGAGTTTTTTTTTTCTTGAAATTAAAATCAAGTCTTATTCCATCATGGTCGGAGAAGATGCTGGATATAGTTTCTATGCCTTTGAATCTGTAGAGGCTTGCCTTGTGTCCTATCATGTGGTCAATCTTTGAAAAAGTTCCATGTGGGTGTGAGTAAAAATATATCTTGTGGTTTGGGGATGGAAAGTTCTATAGATGTCTGTTAAGCCCATTTGATTTATGCTATCATTAAGATCCCTTATTTCTTTACCTATTTTTTTGTCTAGATGATCTATCCAGAGGGGATAGTGGAGTGTTTAGGTCTCAAATAATTTATGTGTTGTAGTCTATCTCTTTTAGATCTAACAGTCTTTCCTTCACATATTTGGGTGCTCCTGTGTTAGGTGCATAGATATTTATAAGCATTATTATCTTCTCGATTGACACTTTTACTACAATATAGTGTCCTTCTTTGTCTCTTCAGTTTTTTTTTGTGTCTTATCCACGAAGTGGGTTTCCTGTAGGCAACAGTTAGTGGATTTCTTTTTTGTTTTGTTTGTTTGTTTTTGTTTTGTTTGTTTATTTGTTGATTTGTTTGTTTGTTTGTTTGTTTTTTCACATTCAGTCAGTCTGTGTCTCTTTTTTTCACATTATTTATTATTTTTTTTGTATATACTTTCAATCATATTCTTTGGCTTACAATGAGACCATTTCGATATGTGCACATTTCTCCCCAGA